GAATATAAGGAACCGCCTTACCTTGCCTATAGCTCTCTCAATGTGTATTCTATGCTGGGCTATGGTTTGGGTTCTAATGACATCATCCTCACTAAATGAAGACTGGTCCCGTAGGAAAGGAGGGATGTTTAAATTTAGGCCAATCTCAGAAAGCTCACTACTAATATCAAAACCCTTATCAGCCATAATGCTATCTCCCCTTAGGATCTCTCCAACATCTATCTTTCTCTTCAAAAGCTTCATAAATCCACTTCGTTTGACTATTTCTTTGTCTGAAATAAGCCCAGTATATAAGTGTGATACGTACATTATACCACCCTTAGCATCAACCCCCACCAAACCTTTGACAGTGTTTGTAGATTTATAGTTAGAATATGTCTCAGACTGTTTCAGCAATGATGATGGGCACTCTATCTTCAATTCTGTACAGTCTATTATGATCATAGTTGATGGGTATTCTTCCTTGAACTTTGAAGGCATTTGTTCAATGATGACATCACGATGTGGCCATATCTTCAGCTTTCCAAAGAAGGTATACAAGTATATCAGCCATGAATTCACTAGGTTCGATACCCTGCCTTGTGAAATATAAAATCTTATGGCCAAATCTAAGTTAGTCAAGCCAAGCTTTAACTTCATCATAAACATCAAGAATTCATCCTCAACTGGTAGTTTATGATCCCGTGCATTGGTTTCTAGTAAATCATCAGTATTTTCAGAATCAACAAGCTGTGAATCTTCACTACTGTCAGTTGTCTTGTCACTGTCAAACAGTACAGACATGTCAATTTGAGTTTCACTTGCTGCCACAGTGTCACAGTAGATGATTTTACCTATAAATCGAGGTAAAAAGGACAATAAAAGCTTTATCCAGTACACACTATTTAACAAGCTATTATTATATTAGTTTCAATCAATCATTAACAAGAATTATGTGGCTTATAAATTGAATATATATTTTACATGCTCTTTTCATGTACACATGCATTAATGCATCATCATATTAAAAGTATAAAATAAATAGCAATTATTTATTTACTTCTATCTAAACCAGGAAGGACAAATTCTAACACCTCCATGAATCGTTCGTATGACTTAAAGCCAGTGAGATGACTTATGTAGTCTGTTTTTTTCTTTGTCGTGTCAGCCATTTCCAAGAGAGTTTCGAGTGAAAATCGGTGTAAACATGGAGTATCGCGGTCTACTTGAATTCCTCGTGAAACCCTGCTCTTTTTACTTTCCACTTCCAAAGTTTCCTCCCCTTCTGAAGCTGTTTCTGTTTGCTCTGCCAATGCTAGCTCCCTTTCCTCTTCCAATCTTCTTCTCTTTTTGATAAAAGGTCTAGCGACAACTTGCTTAGACCAAGCAAACACTGAAGGAATAGCCTCAGCTTGTAGTCGCCGTTTCGTGCTGAAAGAATTGATAAAATCTGTCTCTAAAAAATGTTCTGAACACACTTTAGTGTGTTCTCCAACTTTAAAACTATCCTTTGGATGATTTCTCTTAATCTTTATTGTCCAAATCTGTGATTACGATAAGAAAAGAACATTTGTAATACCGAACGTAAGAAAACGTAATTGGACTACAACACTAAAACAGCATCAAAAGTKTCAATAAAAAAACGTCAAACTTACCTTGGCTAGTGAGGGATCGTCAGGGAACTTATGGAACGATAAACCAGTGACCGTAGAATTATTATTACAGTCCCGTACACAGCAACAATGAACCATTTTAAAAGAGTGATTGAAAAAAACACGAGTCACTTGTCAAACGCGCCACCGTGTTTGTTTACCCAATTCAAATCACGTGACAAGCCGGCTGATTCGGTCTATTTATGCGTAACGCTTCAGTTGGCGTGACGCGTAAACTGGAAATACCTCACTTCAAACTTTGGTCTGTCAACACCAAACTATTTCGAGTCCAAGCATAAAACTTCTGTGACATAACAAACAATAACCAGGCTTTCGCTAGGTATAATTTTTGTCTAACAATTTTAGATACCAGAAAGGTTTTTTGGCCTTTGAACTTTGATAATTTCTTCGTGTATTTCGAAACTACAAAAACAGGGTTCACAAGAAATGCTCTAAAAATACAAATTGTCAAAGTAAAAACTTAGTTTTATTGCGAAACTAAACTATAATGATATATAAATACACGAGAGAAATATTAGATTCATTAGTTTTAAACTAAGTCGTCAGTCGATCAATAAAGTTAGCTGGAAAATCAGTATGTGTAGGCCAGAAAATCGGCTAATTGACCGCCACATCACAATTTCGTAAATATCTCTCGAAAAAAAATCGCACCAACTTTTTAGTATTTTTCCCATGATAGGAATGCTAAATGGGATCATTTGGGGAAATAAAAAAAAATTCGAATTTTTTCATCTGTCATGGGATTTTCGATTTTTACTGGCATCCGCTCTTAAGCATCCATTAATCATGCTGAACTTGTGAACTATTCTTGATTAGAGAAACATTTTGCTCTAGGAATTGGCCATGCAGTATATTATAACAAAACCAATACACCTTTTTTGAAAATGCTGTATATAAACGAAAAATACAACCATTGTTTGATCTGCTGCAGAACACCTACCAAAAGACAACTCATTTTTTTCTGATCACAAAGTCAACATCACTTTCATCATCCCTTTTAAAATTAGCTTGTTGAAACTCACTATAACTCATATTGAATTCGGGTAATTCTGCTGTTGTTTCGTCAAAACAAAGGATTTGACCCTACCACTAGGGGCACTCCATCTCATGCAAACAGGGTCTAAACTGATAAAGGTCTCTACAATGAAACTACATGTGCAACCAAGTGTCAATAGCCCCTGGATATGTCTAAGGCCCACCCCCCCCCCCCCCTTGGGACAAGACATTGATAGGTGTATTACAAAGGACAAACAAAGACAATAGAAAGCATATTTTACTAGAGAGAAAGACAAAACACCCTTTGATAAAACTTCATGCTAACTTTTGATACTTACAAAAGTTTTCAAAAGTGAAAATTTCTTTGTGCAAAACTCGCACTGTTCTCCGCAGCGCCAACATTTTGGAGTTGTAAGAACATCCATTCACTCTTTCTCTTCGTTTATAACTTCTTCTATGTTCTGAAGTTGTTTCGGTGTCGAAGGATCTTTAGTCGCCCAGAATTTATTGTTAGCTTTCAAGTGGTTCAGACTTGATGAAACGAGAGTTTCAAGCTCTCTTTGGACGGCAGTTGGCCAGGTTGCCAGCCCCCAAGTCTTTCCTTTGTGGCATCGACGAATTTTTCTTTGGTTTCAGGACTTGAGCAAGTAATTAAGCGGCCAAAAAAGCAAGAGATTCCTTCTGTAATGGGGTCGTCCCTGATCTTATGAGTTGTCCTGACTCCGGCCTGGCAACAGAAAGAGAAATTTGCCACTTCTAAAACGGAACTGACATTTTTTAACGGTCGAAGAGAATAAAATCTAACACAAATTAAGCTTACAAACCACGGCCAACAGACAACGCGCAACAATGCAGTCAAGATAAAGAGTCTCGTGGTAAGAGACCTGGCTTCAAAGCAATAAAGTGATACCGCTGACACTTTTTTGCCTCCTATCCACACGTGTGAAGTTTAGATCTATGTTAAGATGAGGTCTTCAAATCCTTTGCATTTTCTTCTACCCTTGTACGACATTGCTGTTTGGCAGCTTCCTTTCACGTGGAGAATGCACAACTTTGTGGTAGAGTTCATGTGTAAACTGCTAAGCATGCCAGCCTTCTCGCACTTACAAACAAAGATGGCGGATCAACTCATATGTGACGCTACGGGGCAATGGAAGGTAGGAGACAAGGGCACAGATGAGCTGACAGCATAGTGTCAGGATCAGTGCAGGAGTAAAGAATTTAAGAGCCACACCAACCCAGAAAACCACGTATATTTCCCCTTACCATCCACAACAAATATTCCACTGTGTTACGAATGTTGCGCTCCATGTCTGAATTGCACAGAAGATATACCCGAGGAACTAGTGACAGCGCGAGCTGTATTAGATGGCTTCCCAAAAGAAAACGAAGAGCAACTTCAAGAAGAACAACAGGAGCAAGAAGAAAATGAACTTCAGGCGTCAGAACCGATAAAAAAAAAGACTGCGTAAAAAATAAGCTTGCGGTTGGCAAGTTTGCCAGTCTATCCTTTCCAGGTTGTAACATAGACGTCTCAGGACTCAATCGGTTTATATCTTTATTTGTCGCATAAATACCTTTTTATATCTGTAAGAGTGTAATTATTAATGACTTGGCCAGATCTTTTATTCTTACAAATACAATTACAAAAGTTTGAATTCGACATTCTGAATTATGGATATATAACCTTTGCTATGCATCGAGGAAGTGTACTAGTAGCCTCGATGCATATCCAAACCTTATGTAATATCTATAATTCAGATGTCGATTGTAATTGCTTGTTTTTAAAAACTGTATCATTAGCACTTTGTTTTTAAAACTGTTCTGGTTATTTCACATATGTATGCCATATGTATTTCACATATGTAGAATTATCAAATTCATTAATAATTCGTAAAGTAAACACAATGGAAAATCATTGCCGTGACCTCATCTTTATATGAGCAAGAGATTTGTCCTTATCTGATTTGTCCTGCTCGCTTGCAGCTCGCAGTTTTAAATGCCCATAAAGGTCTCCCGCTCATATTTTATATATTACTTAACTTTACAATCAATTACCAATCGATATCAAGCTTTAAATTGTTATTTTACATTTAATATATTCAATTTTTCTAATGATTAGTATATTTGTAATTTGCGCAACTATGTTTATATTTTGTAAATAAAAAGTGTATATTCTTCTTGTTTCAATAAAAGACTTATTATGTTTATTATTACTACATATTATCACAAATAGTGAACTTGGG